TAACTAGAAGGGTGTTATTTGTATATATATAATCAGATATATGTCAGCTTTAAATGTCTATAAAAATATTTTACATTTTATTCTCATTACAGAAGATTTTTTTTTTGTCCTACAGATAACATTTTATTATTGATGGTTTCTATGTAAGTGGAAATAGATTTCACTATTTAAAGGGGTCTCCCCAAGAAGGGAAAAACAGAACCAGAATGTAGTTAAATAGTTTTTAAATGGTCACAGTTTCAAAAAAAATCCAGAAGAATGTTTTGATGGATAATTTACGTTTCCTGTACTAAAGCATTGTTCAGGGCTGGCTGCTTTTGGTTATTGTTTTCCTTTGAGGATTTAGAAATGCCATGCCTTTACACTCACACATTTCTCCCTTTGCTCCCACTGTGAACTTAAAAGTTTTCTTCCTTTTTGAACCTCAAATTAGCTCCTGAATTTTAAACATACCTGTGAAGAAACAGAAATAAAGAAAAAGTAGAATTAGGTTCGTGTCCATTAGCTCTTCACTTTGTTGGTTTAATTTTCTTGAGGCTTACCAATAAATAGATATTGTTGAAAAAACATATCTTTAGTTTGGCATTAAATTCACAAAGAAAAATCCTTAATTCTTCCTTCTCTGTTTCTTTTTATGTTAAGTGATTTACTTTTCTCCTCATGGCTCTAGAGGTTGTGTATTTTCAGTGAATTGCATTTGGAAGCCAGGACTTTTGAACACGAAAGACCCAATGGAATATTTTCGGAAGACCAAGTGTTGGGTGAAAAGACGTCTTTGTCGCATTTGCCTTAAAAAACAGTGAAGAGAGAGTTCATTTAAATGTGAATCTCAAACGGAGTAAAACCAAAACACGTGTCTTAATTGGCCTGCATGAAAAAATCTATATCGGTGATGTTTCGTAAGCGGCGGGATCGCTTTGAGCAGGAGGGAGGGCAGGGGCTCAACGGGACCGTTTCAAAGCGAATGTGAACAGACTTCAAAGAACCTTTCAGCCATGGCTAGAATGCCAGGGCTGCAGCGTTTCCATCTTTTCAAACGGAGGAAACTCCGAGGATATTGGCCACTTTGAAGAAAAAAAGCAGCAAAGGAGAGCGTGCAGATGAAGGGACCTTGTTACCTCTGCGGTCCTTTGTTGCTTGTGGTGGCAGTGACTCTCAATATTGCTGTTATGGTGTTATTTTTAAATAACGCAAGTGTGTTTTTTTTGTGTGTAGACCAGCTGTTTTCGTGGGGAAGTGTTCCAGAAAATGTCACTGATGTCTTACTATGATGAAGCAGATGGATGTCTGCTTAATGGCAGCATCTCTGTTATATTTTAACAGAAATAAGAAGGAGCTGTTTGGCTTTAAGTCCTCTGCTGGTGCAGCTACAGGTTCAAACATGCCTGCATTGTGCCCGGTGAAAGCATGAGCTGCTCATCCACAAATTGTGTTTTCAGGGACTTTTGGAGGAAATGCTTCAGAAAGAATAGGATCCAGGATCGCTCATCTTTTCTTAATTGTGAATGAGGTCTAAGTTAAGGCGAGAAGGCCGAACTTTCACACAATGTCTGGTAAGCGCTCAGGCTCCCTAGTTTTATGTGTGCGCCAAGCCAATACTGTCACCAAAAGCTACATTTATGTAGCCACACGGAGCCTCAGCTGGGGACACTAATTGGAAGGTAAACCAACCTTTTTCTTCTCGCTTCAGCTGTGTCAGTTCTTAAGAAAACCGCTGTGTAATACAACAGTTCTCCAGTTTTCACTGTAGTCCCCAACTAATCTGTGGGTCTTTCCCTGCACTCCAATGATGCCCCAGAAACACTGTGATCCTTTGTGCTTGGGCCTCCTTCTAAAAATACTATCAGCTAAAAACATCTTTGGTTCTTCCCTATCTGGGAGTAAGGGGAGCCGAGCGTCATGGGATCACCCTCCTTGCCGTGGAGCCTGGTCTCAGGATCGCTGTTCCAATGGCTCAGCTTGGCTCTTTGCATTCCCTTCAACTACATAAAGGGTTTGTGGTTGAAACCAAATAAATTTCTCCCTGTCTGTTGCTAACACATTGCCACATGTGTTAGCAACATCCAGTAGGATATAGGCCAATGCAGAAATAGTTTTCTGGGTTTGGATTCTCTTGTTCCGCTTGCCTGTGTTGTAGTAAATTCTTTAGAGCAGGAATCTAAACTTCTACAAAATCTAGCTTACATCTCGCGATTAGGAAGCAGATACTCAGTTTCTAAAAGTCCCAGTTCTTTCTTAACCCAGCTGAGGGACTGACTGTTCAGTCAAGTATCTTTCAAATTTATCAAGTATTGATACCAGAATTTGTCTCTGTAGCTGTCCTTGCTGCATGGTCAATAATGCACACTAATGTGCTATGAAATTTTAGACTTTAGAAGATTTGAATGCTGCTTTAATTCTTACTCACTTGGGTGGGCTTTTTTTCTGTGTGTGTCATTAGCATATTTTAATATTATGTACAGGATTAACTACTTACGTTTGTAAAGCTTCTTGAGATTGTTCATCGCTGTAGTTTTTTATGTGCTTGATTTTTATAGATCGAACATGTTCATCCAAACAGGATGTGTATATTCACACACCTACTGATATTAAGTCATTTGGTCAGTGTAAAAAGAACAATTCTCCCATGTATGTATGTATGTATTTATTTATTTATTATCTCCCCTCTTTATTAAAAAGAGGCCACTTTAAAAACTAACATTCCTTCTGGGGAAAAAAAGCCTGCCCTGACGAGCTGTGTAAATACTGGATGGTCAACAAACTGGTTTTAACAGGCAAAATAGGTTATCAGTTTTGGGGTCTTGCACTGGGAGTGCCCTTGTTATCGTCTCTCTGCTGCTTCAACAAGTGGCTGCTAGTTCAGGCATTTCAGCTCGTGGCTCTGTTTTGGCCCTCCTGTGAAAGGCATGTCGCAGATAACCTTCCTTCTTACCTAAAACATCGTTTTGGTAGAGGGAGGGGGCTCTTGGTTATGTTTTTCTTTGGTAAGAGTAGGCAGTCACTGTAAAACTGCAGGGAACCTGTAGTACTATGACCTTTGGCGTTTTGAAGCCACGGTGGCAGTGCAGCATGTTACAATTTATAATTCCAGTTTTAAGAAGTTGTATATATAAAAAAAAAATCACAGGCTCGTTTTATTTTTCTCTCTTTCTAATACTGGAGGTGTGATCCAAATGCTTTGAATAACTTTGTTCCAGTTCAGGTTTTACTCCCTTTTCAAGCCTTGTGCTTCATTTTTGTCGAGTTCTGTCACATGAATAATCCTGACAGTTTTCTGTCGTTAATTTGCCGTCTCCAGCCGCTACCTACTGCATTGCAAGTTAAATCACGTTACGCCGTAGAACAATGTGTGTGTCTGTGTGGAAAAATAACGTTTGTCTAAAAACTATATGTAGCGTTTGGGAACAAAGCCCCTGCCGTGAGAACGTGCGGTTGTAGAGAGGATAGGGGTTTTTGTGGGCACAGGGCAGCGGCCGTCCCGCGAGCCCCATGCAGTGCCCTCGCAGAGCTGGCCACAGCCTTGCTGGCCACAAGCTGCACTTGTTACTAGGTGCTAAGTTGGTAACATGCCCTGCATAGCAAGAGGGTTGGAGAAGCCTTCCTGAAAGCCTCAACTCCTGACCTGCCTGCTCAGACTATCCTCTGCTAATAGAAGGACAAAACGCATGTGTTGTCACAGTGTCGTTAAGGCTGTGTCACTGCTAGCTAAATCTGAGAGATTAATTTTTGTCTTTACAGAGCATTTCTTTTCTCCTTCGACTCCTGAGGTCCTCCAGCGCGTGCCTTCTCATTGCTTAAAGGTGATTTTACACAGCCCAGCTGAGATTGCAGTTTTGTCAGATACAATAACAAATGTTCTTACAATCCTGGTATATTATTGTTAACTTTGAATAAAGCATAGAAGAAAGTCTTTATTATGCTGGACACAGAGCTGTATCGTGACTTCATAGGACAAATCAGAAAGTCGTCCGTACAGCTGAGCTCCAAACTCCAGAACACAGAGACTCTTCTTAAATTGAAACTTTCAAACAAAGACAGATTGTACAGTGGAAATTGTCCAAGTCAGGCATCTTCTCCACCAGTCTCACCAAAGCGTGTTCTGAAAAGTGTTGCTTTCTTGCAGTCAGTCTTCTGATAAATAATGATAAAATGTGAGATGGATTTGGATGTCTGGGGGTTCATACTTCAGTAACTCAAATACATGATTTTGTGACTTAATATTTAGTGGAAAACATAAAAGAAATCCCGAGTCTGTTGTAATAGCAGTAAACCATAGGTTAATTTTGGGCAGCAGAATGTTCCTTGGGACAAATGCACCTATTTAACATCTCACCTGCCGTTTCTTACCCAATAGGAGTGCCCACTTGGTTGTCCTTAGCCTCATGTCTTTGGGTAGGACTGTCTTTTCATGGAAGTCAGGAAAGCAGCTGCCCCCTTTTCTAGTAAGGTTTCACCTGGATTTTAATGAAGCCGTAGCTCCTTTGGTCTCTGCTGTATCTGTAAACTGAAAATGCATTCCTCGCTGTCCAGTCTTTGCATTGCAAAGCACTGTTATTTCTGGAATAACGGATGTGAATAAGATTTGTAAGTAAATCATTTTAAGGTCAATTTGGCATAGCAGAGATTCCCAGATTTGTACTGGGAACAGCCTCCCTCCCCTCTTCTAGCCCTGCATTGAGAGCAAGAGTGTTCGGCTGTTGAAACAGCGCAGGATATTCCAGCATGTGTTTCCTGGCTCTTCCAGGGAAAAGTCAGTGGGCTGTTCTAGTCTGGGGTGGGATTTGATTGTTTTCTTTGCATGCTGCTTTGAACGTTGCCTACCATTAGGGCTACGTTTAGGGCCGTTCGGGAGCCCCTCATGTAGACTAAAAACTCTGTGTACCTCATTGCCAAAGAGCTTTTGCTGCCAATTTCCCTGCTTTGCTGTGACGCGTTGTCTTTCAAATCCTAGTAAACTGAAGTTGGCCGCATGATGTAATACCTGCAAATAGTGTTCCAAAATGACCCGGCTCCAGAATCTGCCCCTGAAATCCCTGGTAGGCCAAGAATTTCCATAAGCATTTGAAAATAGTTTCCCGGCAAGAATAAAATGACAAAATGGAAATTTAAACTTTCTTTCATGTCTTGACCTGACACATAGTTCTTGACTGAATTCTTATAAAGGGCCTGTTGGCCATTATCAAAGTATGGGGCTGCCGTTAAAGAAACTTTAAAGGTGCTAGATGAAGGGAAAGTGAAAATAAATGCACAAAATTTATCATTTTGGATTAACTTGGCTCTTTTCTGAGGCGGACAGGTAGGATTGAGGTTGAGTTGTGCTGGGTGATGGGCAAGCAATGGCAATGTTGCATTTTATCAAGACTAGCTAATTCTTCCTTGTTTGTTGTTTCAGTTCCGAGTAATCTCTTGTCCCTTTCTCTCTGTTCTTAAGTAGATTTGAGAAAAAAGTCATTTTTTTAAAGATTTAATCAAAGCAATCGTTAAAAATATATATTACACAAAACCGTTCACTTAAAAGTAGGTCAATAAAGTAAAAAATTGGCTATTGAGGTCACAGGCACTTGCAGATGGTCTTTTTTAAAACAGGGTCCTGTATATTTTGTTGCTTTTGGGTAATACTGGAATACATTCTGTCTAATGAACATTCCCTCTAGTTAAGCAATTGAATAACACTTTTGTCGTGTCCCTGTCAGAAAGAGAGAGACAAGTTTTGCAATATTAGGAAGTTTCTAAACAGTACTACTGCGATACGAGTATCTTGACTAAGACTTGCCTGTCAGGATGCACCAAAAATAAGTTAGAAAGCGCAGCGCTTCCATCTTCATGTTGTAAAATAAAAGGCAAGGTTGTCATTCTCCCTCTTGGCTTCTGATGGAAATTGTGCTATGTCGTGGGTTTATGCAGCAATGCAGCAGTCTTGCTGTTCTTCTCAAATATTAATGATTTGCAAAGAGATGTTATTTTGCAGTAGGTCTCATTTTATTGCATTTGTGACAGTTTGTAAAAGATTTGAATAATGTTTTTCGTGGGAAAATAGTCTTGGATTATAGCGACTCTCTTACTCAATGCCTTTGGATGTCTTGCGTGTATTGGAGCCCGAAACTTTTTCACATGTTCGTTTTTTAGAGTACAACAATGTCTCGCCCTCGTTTGGAGCTAGGCCCCTTTGTCCTGTAAGAGCTCATTGGTAGCAATATCCTGTTTAAAGTTGTTTTAAAAGAATGACCTTGTAGGGCATGCTTCCTGCTCTCCCTTGATGGGATTTCCTTTTTATTAAACAGGAAATAGTCTGATTACATGAAAGTGTGAGAATGACAGGTTTTTCCTTCCCAGCGAGGGTTGTTCATGCTAATTCTATGTGGAGTGCTCTCAGCTGCCAGAGCTGCCGAAGCTCCTTTGCGCTGCCTGAAATTATTGTCTCCACCTAAAAGTTTCACGCTGGAGCGGTGCTAAAGCGCTCCCCACTCTGCACCATCAGCTGATCTTTCATGTGAAAGTCTTTGTACCGTGATTCTGTCAGCAGATACGTTTTTCTCTGCCATTCGTGTAAGGTGACTAGACTCAGTGATTTGTAGTATGCTCTGCTGGTATTCAAAGGCCTATTTTATTCCTTTTTTTCCTTCCCTGGCTCCCTGGGTTGAAATTGGAAACTGCGGAGATGCTGCTTTCCTACCCCACAAAGAAGGGTTCTATTTGTAACATCCATTATTTTGTTTTTAACTTTGTCCTCAGAATCACCTGCGCTCCTTATTTAGACAGGGCTTAGTGATCATGTCTCATATGGATTGGATGCTTTGGGAAAAGGAATTACCATGGGATATTGCTATAATGTAAACGCTGTTGCGTTTTATTCCGTGAGCCAAAAGAATGGCCAGAGTTAAGTGTTCCCTCAAGGAAGCTGCAGAGTTAAGGTAGCCCGTTCATGCCCTGTAATTCCCTTAATAGATAGATTGGGTAGCGCCCAGGGATTGATCTGGGATTGCCTAATAAATGATGGTGCTTCTTGCAACTGCAGCCGTGAAATGCGGGCACTGACCGAAGCAGGAGGATTTTGAGACCTTCTTATTGGTAGGATAGACAGAAAATTGCTGATTAGAGAAGTGCTGCCACTTGAGAGCATTGGGTTTCGTTCCAAGCTTAGGAAAGGTTAGACCAGCAGTTGCCGAAACGTTTGTTGTGACCTCTCTTGGGTTTCTGCCTTGAGTTTTGCCGGTGCTCATTTTGAGAGCTGTTGTGTGCACCCTTGCTCCTCTCCTCACCCCTGGGTTTCTGCTCTCTTGGCCACCACCTTTTTCTCTGTGCACGGTCTGGGTGGCTCTTGAGCCTTGCTCTTCCTTCCAAGCTCTGTGCCTCGTGCTGTGAAAGACCAGACCATTTCTTTTTATGTGCAGTGGAAATAGCGCAAGTTTTGTGTTCAAAATTAGCATGTGATTTTTGAAGACTCTCATGATGAATATATATATATATATATAAAAAAGGTTATTCTGTCCACATTAACTGTGCTATTTTTGAGTGTTTGACTTTGCATTAATGCTTTAATGAACTGTCACATTAATATCTACACAACTTTCAATGTGAAACAGCAGAACGGGAAATAATCTTGCAGAGTGCTTGGTTGGTAGATAAAAATTTTCAAAAAAAAAAAAGGGGGGGGGGGCAATAATGGGTAAACCCAGGAAATATGAAGCTTCCTTCCATGGCAGAGGTGTAATTTGGAATTCTTCCCCTTGCTAATTAGTGCAAATCTTCCAATATCTCACTGGAAAATCAACATTTACACAGTAAAGCCTGGGATTTGGGTGTCCTGTATGGCTTAGCTTTGAGCTGCCGGCCTGAAGCTGTTGGCGCTGGCCCGCAACCCAGCTGGACTGCGGTGTCGGGAAGGTTTTGGAGCAAGTTGCCTTGCTGGGAGCTTTGTGTCAGTAAAATGATGGATAACATGGTGACTCCAAAGAAAAAGCTTTGTTCAGAGAGCTGAAAAACATTAGTTTCTATCTCTGCTTATGCATATTAGGGTTTTTTTTTCCTCTAAAGAAAAGGACAAGCAGATTTTTAGGTTGGGGTGGAGTCTGCAGGTGTGAGTGTTATAGGGTTGTATCAGGTCGCGGAACATTGTTTTGATACGCATCGATTTAATGCAACGTGCTGCGCTCCGGGGCAGCGAGAAGGTAACAGATGAAATAATTTGAAATTTTGGAGAGCTTCTGTGTAATTGCTAACGAAGTTTGCACAGCTGCCGGGAAAGGGCTGAGCAATATTGTGGAAAATGTGGGGTATTTTCCAGGCCTCACACTGGATCAGTTGTGTTGGAAGATAGGAAGAGCTTCTGCCCCCAGGAGGGGCCCTGCAGGAGGTGGTTGCTGTGAGTCTCTCCCTCAGCTGTGCTCTCCCGTCTGCAGGTGCTGCTCGTCAGCAGCAGTCGTCATCCCGACCGATGGATTGTCCCCGGGGGTGGCATGGAGCCCGAGGAGGAGCCCAGCGTGGCCGCGGTGCGAGAGGTTTGTGAAGAGGTAAGTGCTCAGCTCGCGCTCCCGGAGCGCCCTTGTTTGCGGCAAGGGGAGGAAAATCATAGGGTCGCTGGTGATACCACATCCTACGTGGGAGGGAAACGGGAGCTCTAAATAAAGACAGCAGAGGGGTGTAATTGAGCTTCGCAGCCAGAGTGAGTCTTGTCCTCGACTGATACCCTGGCCTGAAGATGCTTAAAGCGAAACTCTTAACCGTTGCGATGCATGTGGCGATGCTCGCCGTTTGGTTTTTATAAACTGCAGTTCAAGAGAACTTCAGAAGTTAGCTGTGCTTTTGTGGAGCTAATTATTGAGCAGAAGGTGGAAAATATTCCTTATGAGCCGTTGAAGACTATCCAAAAATAGGGACCTCAATATATTGGGTCCACTCCACATTTTGAGATTTATGTGAATACCAGAATTTGACTCTTAAGAGTTGTCATAAGCAACAGTTCCTGTGTGTTCACAGTCTTTTTGGTTTTTTTTTTTTGGTCACTTGAAGCTGTTTCACAAAGGGGATCAAACAGCAACATACACATTTATGAACTACATGGAAAAGGCCTTTTTTTTTTTTTTTTCCTTTTCCCCTCCCAAGGTTGCCACAGTGAGATAGGAGGGGTTTGTTCTGTGTTTTAAGGAAATTAAAAGTCAGCAAATGGAAGTTGACTGCATCTTTTGCAAAATGTCTTTAGAAATTCTCTTCTGTCTATTGCTGAAATGGAGAGGTGCTTAAATGGTTGTGTGGGGATGATCACAGTTATATAAGGCAGTATTAAAAATGCTTTCAGGAGGGTTATAAATCTGTGTCCTAAAGAACAAAAATCCAGAGCTAATTAATGGGAGCTGGGAGGAAGCTTCCCCAGCCCTTGCTTTATTTGCTTGTCTCATGTACAAACCTTTGCCCCGAAGTGCTTGGAAGTACCTGCTGTCTAACAAAATGTTGGACATCAAGGCATCTGGGCTAATCTAATGCGGCAGGTCCTGTGTCATGTGTTTCTCTGTAGATGTTTTCATAATCTAGCATTTTTTCTGGAAAGATACCAAAGATACAAAATCAAAGTTTATTTTTAAGTCACTGTAGGTCCTTCCAGTACTTGAGATTGCTGCTTTCAAATGTTGTTCCCAACTTGTAACACAGCTCCTGCTTTTTCCATAACTCGGCAACCTTTCAAAATTCATTACCAGCAAAAGCAAGTTTAGCCAAAACAATAGAAATACTTTCAGTCGCAGAGCCCTGCTTTACAACCAAATCCTTGCTAATAATTACGTTATTTGATCCTGAAGTCAAAGGTTCATTCAGGAGATCCATGGCTTCGCCTTTCAAATCCTTAAAATAAATCTGCGTCGCCGCTCCCTTTCTCAGGCAGCTCGGAGCCTTGGAAGCGCTGCTCTCTTTCCATGACAGCTCCGGGGCTGAAAGGAAGTCTTGGCATGGACTCAGTCTGCAGCGAGGAAACTGGTTCGGGCTGGCTGGGATAATCCCCGCTGGCCGCGCTGCTGCTGCCGCCTCCCGCGGGCTGGTGCCCGGCGAGGTGCCGCTCAGCGCGGGCAGCCTGGCAGGGCCGGGCGCTTCCCCGCGAGGTCCTGTCTGCCCCACGAGCCCCCAGCGCGCCGCGACGCCCGCGTCGCCCACCCCGCCGGTGCCCGATGCCCGCGCGGGGTCGGGAGCTGCAGTCACGCTCTCCAGCGCTGCTGCCAGGAGGGCTTTTCTGCGAGTGCTGCGGAGGAGCAGCCTCTCGTGCACAGAATTACTCGAGCACTTCTGCAGCTAATGAGCAGAGCAGCTGCAGAGCGGGCACAGGTGAAAAGCATGTGCCAGTACCAGCTTTGGGGCACCAAAGAGTTTCCTCAGATACGTTTCTTTTCAATATGCTGCTTGTTGATACCTACACCAACTTGTAGCATATACCAATTCCGTCCTGGGCTTGGTGAGCTGCCGATGTTGAAGCGTTGCTGGGGAATGTGTGTGCTGCACGTTATGCTCTGTATTCTGCATTACGGTATAAAGGACTCGTGTGCCTGTCTTTTCCCACCTTGGGTTATTGATGTGACACAGGGACCATGTTTTTAGAGACGGTCCCTGCCACATCAGTGGTTTTGTGTCCCTCTCCCATGTCCATGGACACAAAAGTAGGTTTTATCCTAAAGGGATATGGTCTCTGTGCTGATCAAAACTATGGGAGGTGCTTGTGGCATTTCTTCCCCTGACTTTGGTAGAGCTTCTCCATTTAATCAGAGCTAGTAGGAAGAAGTGCAAGGACTCATACTTTCAGTTGCTTGTGTTCTTTGGACGTAGCAATGGGCTCTCTTACAGTTTGTTCTTTTGCTTTATATTTATATATAAAGCAAAATATTTATATATATATAAAAATAGCCTTCCTTAAACTGTTTACATTTATACATAAGATCACTGGGGTAACTGCTATGGAAAAAAACCCGACTTCTACTTCTCCCCAGTTTTCAAAACTTCAGACTGACTGTTCTGAAAATGCAATGTTGCTTCTGACACCTGTGATGCCTGTGTCCCAGTGTGAGTTAAAAGCCCTTGTTTGAAAGAGTCCTTATCTGTATTAATCTGTACCAGGAGAAGTATTCCAGGAGACAGGTAGAGAGCTTGTCACGCTCGCCCTTGTCTGTGCAGAATGGGAAGTGACTGAGCGCTCGGGCAGTCTCCGCGGGCAAAGCAATGGGAGATGAGCAAAGCTGCTGGCAGGTTCTTGGAAGTGATGCTGTCAGTCTGGTGCAGCTGCGAGCTCCAGCCACGCTGTAAGGTTCATGAAGACCTTTCTAGAAAAACAACTGTATGCCTTGCTGAAGCAGCAGATACTAGTACGAGAGCATCACGCTTGGGGGTTCTTTTTTTTTTTTTTTTCCTGTCTTCTTTCCTGGCTTTTTGCTGTTGTAGTCTCTTCCAAAAATTAATTTGTTAGGGAGATATTTGTATTTTTTTTATTTTATGGGTGTGAGCAAGTGGTGAGGAACATGTTGAAGAAATAAGTGCCTTAAATTAAAGAAAGCCTCTGCAGCCTCCACGAGTGTCTGTTAAATCCAAACCCATTCTGTGCTTGCCGCGTGTTTTACGTCCTGACTTTTCATACTTAATAAATGTCAAAATCTTTAAAATTCGGGGAGTGTTGGGTTTGCCCTCTTCACGGGAGTCAGAAGGCAGAGGAAGCGTGCTTGCTCTGTGATCAAACGGGCGATTGATGCCAATATCAAAAATAGTCCTTATCATCAGAGTACTTTGATCTAGCCACTATACCTTTCCTCTTAAGTAGGCTTTATAAATAGTCTTTTATTTCATTTCTTTTGTCGATGATTTAGAATCTGATAACTTTCTGTGCAAAAATAGGAAGACCTATTATTGTTTTTCTTGAAATACCTTTGCATGGACCATGGATGAATGACTGAGATAATTCTAGGGCATTTGGCTCTTCTTAGATTTAGTAATATTCAGTGCAAATATTGGACTGATTTCTCCTCTCTATTACCTTGTATAGCTGTACTGAATAAAAATGAACACATTTGAAAGTTCTTCACTCTGTAATATTTCATCTCTTTCAAAAGGTTTATATTAGTTGTAATGCAGAAAAGAATTAGTGAAATAGTCACAACCCTCCTTGAGAAGTACAATAAAAATAGCAAGAAAATCTGCCTGCTAAGTGTCTGCAGAACTTGTCTAAACTAGCAGCCTTTACTGGTATGATTTACTACCTTTAGTAGTACAAGTATTACAGCAAAGATTTGTGTGTTTTACCTTTTGCCCAGCAGTAATCTATAGTAGATGCAGGCTTGGAGCCTAATAGAGCAAAGGAAAATAGCTGAAATTCCAACCCACATTTTCCTTAGCTCAGATGGAAGGAAATAAAAGCTGTCCCTAGGAACAGATGGTGTTGCTGCAGGCTGCTTTTTACATCTGACCCGAACTTATTTTCAGCTTTGAAACCTGAACCTGCTGTTCTTGGATGTCTTTGGTAATTTCTCTTTATTAAAACAAGTTGTTCCGTGAGCAGCAGAACGAGTAAAGCTTCATTTCCGCCGGGTTTTCTGTTGTTGTTCCTTGTCCAGGGTGCCCATCCTGCCCCTGCGGGCGTGCAGCAGTGGTTTGGAGATGTGCGTGCTGCTTTTCGGCAGCTGAGTGCTGCTAAATGAACATACTCTGACAAGAAGGGCACCTTTTTCCCCGTGAGGACTGTCTGAAGGGTTGCAAACTCAGCTGGGTCTCTGGTATGCTCAGTGCAAGCCAAGAAAGGCTCTTTGTGCAAGTCTTGCCTGTCTTTTATACCCGAGCCTGCCTCATTACAGACTAACGCTGTCATTTGGTTGATTCTGCTTTATTTTCATGCCTGCAGACAGAGCAGTTGGCGCTCTGCTACCGCTGTTAGTAGGTTTAGTGGTTCCTCGTGGGGAAGCCCAGACACACGGTGCTGCTCCTGGCAGATGTTTGCTGCTGCGGCCACGAGGACGGGGATTTGCCAGTTGCATCTACTGCCGTGGAGCCAACCTTGAGGATCGGTGCAAAGTCAGGCCTAGGTCGAGCTCCTGGCCTGCAGGAGTCCCGCTGTACCTCTGCTTTCCAAGAAAATGCTCTTGGTCCTGTCGTGAGGATGACTGGGGAGGGGTTCAGGTGTTGGCCCATAGGGAGCAGAAAATAAGGAGACGACTAGAAACTGCCAGGCTGTTTTATAACAAATTTATTAGTGGTAATGACTGTATGTTATTTCTAACAGTTTAATGTTAAAAATTCATGGAGGACTGTGAATTCCCCTTTCTCGTGTTCCTTTATGGAGAGTCACTATTATACAGAGGCTATTGCTCTTCCCCTTGGGTGTAAATTAAGTCCTTTTTAAATATCTGTGTGTATCTATCAAATCAGCAGTCCACATGGGAAGTCCTCTAGGAGAATATGTTGTCCTTAAAATCCATTACAGCAATAAAATGGGATAGGAGAGGTAATGGGCTCAAGGATTTAGCAGTAGATATACTTCATGGCTTTTGGTAAGGCTTTAGTGTTTCTCATTTTCATTATGAACTCAGTCTGATGTTTGCCCGAGTCAAACCGTTAATTTACGACCCACTTAACCACTGCATACAGTAAATTCGTCTGTGAAGAAAACCTCAGTGCTTGTTTAAATTGCCTAACGTAGTTCAACACAATTTTCCAGCGGGATGCATTTGTACCCTTGTGGTGCCTTTCTGGGCGAATAGAGCCGGTGGAAGGCAGGAGGATGCTGGCTTGTGCACGGAGCTGTTTCGATTCCCTCTCCGCCTAACGTGAGCGAAGGGAAGGGCCCCTCGCGTGCCCCGCAGCCCGGCCGTGGCCGCAGAGGATACGCTGGATACGCTGCGAGCGGGGCTGCCTGGGCGCTGTTGGTGCTTCCAGGCTGGCCACTCGCTTGGAGATGAATGACCTGCCTTCTGGTCGGGCTGAAGAGCTTGCTAAACCGCGGCAGCAGCGTCGCTGACTGCCGATTCGGAGCCCTTGCAGGGAAGTGAGGAGTACGGGAGTGTGTTGGCCAGAATGCACTGCCCTTGCCTGGGAAGAGGTGAAGAAAAATGCTTTGAGACAGTTATTTACCTAGAGCGTTTGATTACCCTTTGTTGTATACACCTCTCTCTCTCTATGTGTGTACGTATGTTGTGGTGGTGGAGGCCTTGTATTCCTGTCTGCTGATGACTGATTGCTATGACTGCTTATCTTAAACAAGCAAAAAAGCCATCGGAGATTGCTGGTGTTTTTGAATGAAATTCTTCGGCCGTATTGGCCTTCCACTCCCCTTGTGAGAGGGACAGCAGACGCAGAATCGCTCATCTGCAAAGGTCCAAGGCACTTTCCTGTCCCGGGCGCAGCAGCGTGCGCAGAAACGCAGTCGCTCCAGAAACAGCCTTGTGGTTAATAGTCATTGCCCCGCGTGTGGGAGCGCCAGAAGTACTGATGAGACGATAAATGTTGCACCCCAACCCACCGTAAAAGCGCCAGGTGAAAAGCTCCTTCCTCGAAGCAGAAGTCAGGGAGTGCGTTGCAGAAGGAATCGGGTTTCTAGGAATGCTCCTAGTGGGAGTTGCACAACCCTCCCTGCTTCGGGGGTGCTTTCACCAAGAGGAGCAGTAGTGCTCTGGCTTGCATTGGTGTGTCTCTGTTCATTTGTTAGGCTGGGAACTTAGCCACTCAAATCTTTTAATAATTAAGAGTTGCTCCTTTCTAAAGCCATGTGACTGGGTAGTAGCTGAGCAAGAGGGAACAGCTTGCTCAGGACAGAGAGTTTGCCTTATTGTTAAAGATTTAGCTGCCGTCACCCAAGCATCTTTCAAGAAATAAAAAGAAAAGCTTTACATAAGCAAGTCTCCCTGTCTGGGCTCGAAGAGCAGAGGTGCTGTTTTCATGAGCTGTTTGGGACACGTTCCAGCTGCCAGAGATGGCAGCTGAATTTACCTTCCTAATGTGGCTGGCTTGTGTGCCAGCTTGTGTGTGGTGCTTCAAACCAGTTAAGTCACGGAGTGAAATCTGGTCTTGTCTGCAGCACTTGAGCTTCGCACGCAATCATAAAAAGAAAGAAAATTGCTGGAGAAAGAGGGATCTGGAGGGCAGAGAGTGGGATGACACTTGGATGCAGGCACTGGACAGCAGAGGGGAGCAACAGCCTTTGTGGAGGTGACTGAGCTGCAGTGATGGGTGGCACCAAGCCCCATAAAATGGGGAGTTCCTGAGTGGTGTTCAAATGCAAGACAAAATTGTTGTTCGGATCTTCTCCTCATTTGTGTGTGATTACAATTCAAAAGCCTTTCAATCTGCATCTATATTTTGTGTTATTTCAAAAATATTATTTTTTCCTGTTATCTGGGCAACTTGACAACTTTGGAAGTATTTTGTACTAATATTTTGTATTTTTTCCAAGTATTTGTTCACCCGTAGTCAACTTGCCTCCAGTGCATACAAGGCATCATTGGAATCACTGGGAGCTGTCACGTTGCTTTGAGGGTATAAGTGGGTGTCTTCCATATTTCCTTAAACTGTAATTTTAAGGAAGTAAAACTGCTGATTCCCAGGCAAGTTTTATCCATGTTCAGGTTATGACAACCTGTAGAGGAGAATCAGGGTATATCCATGTTGAGTTAGTAACTTGTCAAATTGTGTTGGTTTTTGTTTGCTTTTCCCCTTCAGGGTGATAGTTTGAATATATTAAAAAAGGATTTGAATACATTTTTAGAAAAAGAATGCCTGCATGGTTCGAGCTCAAGACACAGTTGGGTACTTTCTGTTGTGACTGTTGTTTTCAGATTGCCTGAATTACAGCATTTGCTTCCTGTTTTGCAGGAACTGCTGTTGTTCAACAAACAAGGAAATATGTACTGACCTGTTATTAAAGCCTATATTTTTCTCTTTGCTCTTTTTATAGGCTGGAGTGAAAGGGACGTTAGGAAGATTAGTGGGAATTTTTGAGGTAAGTAAATAAAATATCTTGGAATAAAAATAACTTGCGTGTGTGGGGAGAACAACAGCATAAAAACTCCATAGTGAAGTAAAAACATCTGCTGCTCTTTTCAATGACGTTGGTCATCTGCAATTTCCCTTTCAGCTGGAAATACTGGTGATAAGCTGGTGTAGCAGTGACTATTCCAGTACATTCATACAAAAAAAAAAGCCACTTGCTGAGTAGTGTTGTTATCCCTTCTCACAGGGATACACAGCTTTTTACAGCTTCTCACAGCTCGTTACAGCTAAGTTACAGGGAAAAAAAAAAAGAACTTAAGAAATAGATCAAAATGTTTCTTGGTTCTTCCAGCTAAGGAACTGATTTATGAATGCGGTCTGTCAAATATTGCCTTACAGAGTAGGAACTAGACTCTTTGGTAGTCATCCCCATTAATGCTTCCAGGCCTCTCTTTCAAAACACTACAATTATATTAGCTAAGAACTGATCATACTGTGATGGAAAGTGTCTGCAAGGTGCTACGCTGTTACGGTGAGGCCGCGTGCAACTTGCAGATGCCGAGTTCCCTTTCCCCTCCCATAGCTGTGTAATCCTCTGTCACTTTGCCTTCTAGAATCGGGACAGGAAACACAGAACATACGTTTACGTCCTTATCGTCACAGAGGTGTTGGAAGACTGGGAGGACTCTGTCAATATTGGTGAGCCCTTTGTGCTTGAGAGCATCGGCGGGTTCCGCGCAGGCGAAGCAGGGCAGCTCGCCCGTCCTCGGGGAGCAGAAATCCTTTTGCAGATGCTCTAAACAAACTGCCCTGCTCTGTCCTTTACTTGCAGGGAAAAACAAAACAAAACAACATTGTGGTCAGACTGGTGCTGTCTTAACCACTATGGACCTGAAGTCGTTGGTTTGGCTGTAGAGCTACAATCCAGGTCTAAGGGAGGGTATCTGAATTTAATTCCTGCACTTTAGGGTGCTAAGCAAAGAACTTGAAGAGCTGGCCATTCTAAAAGTAAAAGCAAATGTATGTGGGCAGTATGGATTGATCATTCCCAGTTCTCTTTTGAGACATTTGCATTTAAATCAGACTTCCAAATGAAAATGAAGCTGTTAGTACCACCGAAAGTTTTGTCCTTAGCACTGTAACATGGAGAGGATTTTGTGAGAAAGTGACTTGAAAATTGGTGGAATTTGGGTGGTTTGATGTGTGTCATTTATGTCTTAAAATAAATGTCTGATTTGGAGTAGATGGCCCTTAAATTGCTGTGAGATCACAGGGTGCTGAGAGAAAGTTTCCGAACTGTTTGGAACTTAAACTCCATTACAGGCTGGGATTAATCCTGTAGCGTTACTACAAATTATAGTGATGGAGAGGTAATCAATGGTGAGCTTCAGCACCATCAGCATAATGTGGTACCATTTTTCTTTTTATTTACAGGAAGGAAAAGAGAATGGTTTAAGATAGAAGATGCCATCAAAGTTCTGCAGTATCATAAACCAGTGCAGGCCTCGTATTTTGAAACCTTGAGGCAAGGGTGTTTGGCAAACAACGGCACTCCTGTCATGACCACGACGTACTCTGAGAGCTCTGTGTCTGACATCAGATGACTGAAGACGTCCCCACGTGAGAAATTTTGACAAATAGACTGAAACACGGATTCCCCTCCCCTCTCCCTTTTTTCACATGCCTCCTCTATCAAACAAGGCATGGGCAGCAGCCTGTGGCAGAGCAAGTGTTGAGTGCTGCAATTTTAGTGCAAGGTGGGATTTTTTTGTTAGCTTTTTTTTTCTTTTTTTTCCTTTTTTTTTTCCTTGGATATGTATTTTGTAAAATACATTTTGTGCATGAAGTGCCCCTTTCCTGTAACGCCGCTTCCGTGGCCTGGAGAGAGCGAGGCTGCCGGGTTCGCCTCTGCCTTGTGTCCTGAAGTGTCCCGTTCGCGTCGTCCCAGCCATAGCCACTTTTTTTTTAATTAAAAGACTTCAAATGTGAGATCAGCTCTTTAAGTCTTAGTCTGTACTGTAAGGTGCTGTTGGGACCTGTGTGTTGGTCACTTGCAGCGCATATGTATAAACTTTTTTTTTTTTTTGGGTGGAAAATCTAACATTTTAATTTTGCAGGATTTTTTTTAATCCTGGTCTGCTTCTGAAAAGAAGGGTTCGTAATCCGTTTGCCTTTTTTTTTTTTTTTATTTTATTTTTTTAAATACACGTTTTGTGACAGTGCTAGTGGCTGGGCCAGTTTACTCCCCGTTCAAAATCTCCCAATTTAGTGCAGTGACACTTGAAGTTGAGGGCAGAGTTTTGATCACCTGCAGACATCCCTGCTGCTCAGATGCTTCTCCTACAGCTTCCGCCAATGTTTCTGCTTTTACATCAAAATGAAACACAAGGAATTGGTCTTTATCACTTGGCCAAAAATAAATAGCCTAGGACGTGCTATCCTAGCAACTGAATTTCATTGTGGTAGGAATCAGGGATTCAGAGTGGGGTCAAAGTCTGACAAACTGGAGCATCCATCACCAGTGCTGTCCTGCGGATCCTGCTGCGTTTTGCTGATGTCTCTTCTTGTCCACATGCCTTATACCGTGCTGAACTGGATCTCGTAGCTAGTGCTGAAGCATCGGGTTGGACCCGCGGAGCGTTAACGCACGAGCCCTCGGCCGGGTCACCGCGCGTCGCCCTGCAGCGGGAGAAGCCGGCTCTCCGCTCCCTTGTCCTGTGGTTCTGCAGCACTTCCACCGTGGAGGACACTTGACGCTTCCCTCCGCGGAAGGTCCGGCTGCCTCCGAGCAGGAAGGGCAGCCGGAGAGGCGCGCGTTGGCTGGGATAGCTCCCCGGATGCGTTGGCACGCTTCACACTTTTATTTTTATTTTATTTTTTTTTTTGTTTGTTTTTATTGATGTAAGTTTCATGCTGTCTTGATTTGCCAACAGTGTTGTCTAGTTGGGAAATGCAACGGGCAGGGTTGGGGCTGGGGGTGGGTCGGGACAGGTACACGTTTGGGAGGGGCATTAATTAATCCCTGGCTTGGGACAAGAGGTGGTTGCTGAGTTCAGTAACGTCTCCTTTGTCAGAGCATAGCCAAGATGTGAAATTAAATCTGCAGTACTCTTTTTTTTTTTTTCCTCTTTATTTAACAACAACAAAAAATCTTAATAAATACTCACTGTTCCAGAGTTTTCTCTCTTCCCGGGGAGCGCTTACATATGAAAATGTGATGGAAAGATCCCTGGAGCCTGGGACGAGGGGGAATGGTGTCCTTGCCAAGGCCTTGGCAAGAAGCTGTTTGTTCAGAGGTCCCAGCCTGTTCTTTCCTTGTTCCCCCCGCTTTCAGGAGCGTGGAGGAGCAGGGCCAAAAGCAGTGCCAGTCATCACCAACATGGCAAACGCGGCCCGGGAGAAGCTGAGAGGCGCTTTGCAAGCAGGGGCTTGAAGCCGGGCAGCTGGAATCGAGCCCAAATTACACCAGTTCAGTTCAACTTGGAGACGAATGTACAATCCTTTCTTACTCTGTGCTCATTGGCCTCAACCAAACTCTCAAAAGGGCTCAATTCTGGAAATGTGTAAGAAATTCAGACGGGCCGCCGGTACCAAGCCGTGCGCGGCACCTCACACAGCCGTCTACTGCCTTCAATTGAGGGTTTTTTTTTGTCTTTACTGTACAGATTAGTATGTTGAAAAATGCTTTGCAACAAAACAGCTGGTACTCGGGAAAGAGTAACTGCAGTTTTAATATCAATAGCATGCACACTTTTGTTTTTAAACTAAAAATGTTTTTACAGGGCTGTTAAACTGACAATTTTAGGGTAGAATATTGTTAATGACTTGCTAATGGCTTATTTGTTTGGGTCAGAAAAAAAAATAAATTGTGCCAAGAAAGTGTTTTAATGTGGCATGAATTGATGCTGTTAACACAGTGACATGGAGTGGCTGTTACTCTGCCTTCACTGGAAATAGCTCCTGGGGTAGAACCAGCCTTTAGTCAACGGGTGTCTTTGCAGACATTTCTGCCCGAATCTCTTCTGCATCAGGCACACGCATCCCCATCTTCCTCAGCATCCTCTTCCTCAGCAGGTGAGCTTTTTCTGCAATAACTCATAGAGCTGCACCTGTCAGTTATTAAAAAGTAGTTCAAGTTATAAAAGTTTAAGCAGTTTTACCCCCAATCCTGCCTAAAGCGGTTTGGGACCAACAAGCTGCCGTTACCAGTGACAGAAATGCTTGAAAGGTGCCTGGCCCTGGGGTCAGCTAATCCTGTTTCTTTCCCTAGCTGCTTTTCCTGCTGTCTGTGTATTCCTGGTACCTATGAGGACAGCGGGAAGCAGGGCGGCCTTGAGAGAGGAAGGGAGAAAGCGGCTCTGGAAGCGCAAGGATGGATTTCCCACGCGTGCCTTGGCCAGGGCTCCGGCGTGCAGGATGCGCGGTGCCGGGACAGGGAGCTGAGCCGCTTCCCTGCGAGCGGCTCCCGCTCCGCCCTTGGAAACGCTCGGCCCGAGGAGCTGCATCCTGCCGGCCGGGCGCTCCGAGGAAACGGCAGCGCCCCGAGCGCCCGCGGCTCCCTGCAAACGGCGAGGAGCCGCCGAACCCCAAGCGAGGGCAGCCCTGGGGGTCACTGTTAACGCCTGCCTGCCTCTCCATGGGTTTTTTTCAGGCGCCTTCCTCAGCTCTGCGCTTTGGCCGTGGTTTTAGCCGACGTTCGAAGCCCAGAGGCGGGTGGAGGCCCCTGTGCGAGCGGTGCCGCGGGCAGGTACCGCGGCGGGGCTGGCACCGGCCCCCGAGCGCCGGGCATCTCCCTGCTCGCGCTTTGGGAGGGGACAAGAGCGATTTCCACGAGCGGTTCGGTTAACGGTGTGAAATCTGGGGGAGTTTATGCACTTGTATGGGGGTCTGGAGGCTTCTGTTGTTGTTTTCAAGTTCTTTGCTGACACGGGGGCTTTTCAAAAGCACATTTTTAAAGGACAGAACAAAAAGACTCGAAAATAAGTCTTACATAGGTTTCAATCTCTATTCAGCGGAGCTTTCCCACTATATTTCATAGATGTGTCACCTTTGTACATGCCAGTCACGTGAGGTAGTTACTGGGTTACAAGGGGCAGAAGGCGATTCATGGCAAAATTGGAGATAGGGGCAACAATAGGCCCAGGAGGAAAGGGATTTTCCCTGGAGATATCCAGAAAAAGAGTTAAATGGCGGCATTTTTTCCTAAAAAAATAGCAGTCAGTGCCGTTAAAAAGAAAACACTCTTGATCTCTTCACAAACATGTCTTCGGTCTCGTTACAAAGATGGATTGTTTGTTTTTCAACAACAGTTTGCTGGAGAGGAGGGAAACGATGCGGTATTGGGAGCAGCCCGGGGTGCCTCCGACCTCCGGTGTCTTCGCGCTGGGATCCTGCTGCTTCCGAGCCGGCCGAGCTGGTTGTGCCGTCCTGTCCTCGGGCAGGGGCTGCCCTGCGGGCACGGGCGCCCTTGGTGATTGCACCAGAGCGGCAGAAACGGCTCAGAGGGGCAGGTCCAAACACTGCTATTTCTGGGTGTCCTGTTGGGCCACGTACTGCTTGGGGCTAACAGCTTTACGGCCAAAACCGCCACGGGGAAGCTATAAAGAGTGGCACGTCTGAGTGGGAAGGCAGCTGAATTCAGTGCGATCCCGATGGTGCCGTAAAGCAAAGCAGTAACTGAGAAATGGAGAGGGGTTGGAATGTGCTGGAACGTGGCGTTTTCCCTTGTGCAGAGATATTCATGAAAATATTCAGTGGCTAAAAATGTGGGTAGGGAATGTCAGGAATCCCGGGTTTCAGTCCCAATTCCGGTCTTTGCTTTGGGCCTCTGCCTCAAATTTTCCACACAGAGAATTTTTGTTTGCCCATTTGCAACGTGCTGCTTGCTGCAGAAAACGTTTGAAGCCACCCGGATTGAATATTTCCCTCCTCTGATCGCGCCGGCTTTCAATGTTCTTGCTGCTTCTCCAAGACCCGGTTTTATCCCATAGAGATAGATGGGTTTTATGCTTTCCAGGCAGCCAGGTGCACAGTCTCCACCTGGGTGAAGCACCTGCTCTTGTCCAAAGGGGAACGTGGGAATTTGTGCAAGACATGCGGGAATATTTACTTTCCTGGAGTGACAGGGAGTGGTTCCCAGGAGGCTATGGACGCAATTGTGTTGGCCAAACACCTTTTGTGCGTTTGAACACATCTGAAGAGCTCCCTTCTTACAGAGACAGTCGCATTAATGACTTGGTACCGGTCGCTGTTCCCACCACCTGGACCCGTTCCCTCCTGCTCCGACCTTCCTGCCTAACGAGACAGCATAATCCAGCGGTTCCCCGGGCACGGGGAGCTGGGCCCTGCCCTCCATCTCCAGGGCTCTTTCCCCTTCTACCCTCTTCTCCTCTCTCCTCTCTTCTCCTCTCCTCTTTCTACTCTCTCCTCTCTCCTCCTCTCTCCTCTCGCTTCATTCACTGCAATGCATTTGGTTACGGTCAGAGAGCACCCAGGCCTTCAGGGATGGAAGGTGGTGGGTAGATACAGGGAGGGTTTTGCTGGGAATAGGGGGATAGCGTCGAGGGTCTGTGCGTAGCTGGATCAAAGGTGCATTTCAGGGGAGTCTCTTCAGTTTGTTTTCGGTGCTAATGGTGGTTTTCTTCCTTTTTTTGGTGGGCAAGTGAGGATTTTGGAGCTCTACTTGAGAACCTGGATCTAGACTGGCCTCCAGCAGCGACCGGGGGCAGTGCGAGCGTGTTCCCTGTGTGTCAGTCATCAATCCGGGGGGTTGGAGGCCCCCCCTTGCGCTTCCTGCCCAAAGCCGAGCAGGAGCCCAGGGTCCCCCGCGGCACAGGCGGCCCCGCTGGATGTCCCCACACCTGGACACAGCCGCCGGTCACTTTTCCATTCCTTCTCTAACCAAGATTCCTCCGAGATGGGAGCTGCGGCTCCCTGACTGTCTCGTGGGCCTCCTTGCTGGTGTCTGTACGCGGCTCTGCGTGACGCGGTGCTTTTGACCTTACCTGGGTGGCCAAGCGCACGACTTGGGACCTGCGACCCCAGCCCGGTCCCAGCCTTCCCCAGCCCCTCCTGCCGCTTCCTCCGGCGGCTGCAGAAGAGGCTGATGCTGCCAACGTGCGCAATCCCTCTGGGATTCTCCTCTGGGAAAGGCTTCTTATGCTGTGGATATATTCCCAGGTCACTGGAGTACCCCGAAACAGGTGGTCATGCCACATATGCTTTTGTGCTCCCGTCAAGACGACCGTTTTGGGATCCACCGTGGAGGCTGTCGTGCTGCTAATGGAAACATCCAGTAAGTTTGGGGGAGGAAGAAACAATATTGAGAACAAATTGGCCAATTTGCTGCTGGAATTAAAAGAAGCCTGAGACTTTCTGCAAAGCTTGAGCAGCTGTGTGTGCTCGCTTCTCTGTGAATTTGATGGATTTGGATTCCCATAATCTCTCTTTTTTTTTTTTTTTTTTTTTTTTTTCCTCTTTGTTGCAGCTTTCTCTTCCTTTCTCAATGTTTTCTGCTTCTACTCTTTGGGTGAAGTTAACACTTTTTTTTTTTTTTTATTTTTTCACAACACGTGGGATAAAAGCGGTTCTCAGCAATGTTTTATAACTGCAAGGGCACTCCGGAGAGCGCACACTTGCGCTGAAAGCTTTTCCTACCACCTTGCACTTCTTAGTTGCGGTGTCTCTTGGTCCCAAGTAAGACTGATTCAGTAGACCCCTCCTGTCACCCTGATCTCGGCGAGTCCCGGGCTGGGCCCGCGAGGCCCCGGGCGCTCCGTGGAGCCGCCGCGCTGCCGTCCGCCCCCCGAGCGGCTGCCGGGGGCTCCCGGGGGGTTCCCTGCACCCCGTCCCGCCTGGGGAAGCAGACGGGGGGCGGCCGGGGGAGGCTCCGCGCGCCCAGGGCAGCCCCTTCTCCTTGAAGGCGTCTCCGCCGCCGGGGCTGTTTGCAACGGGGAGGCCACCACGTAAAAAGAAAAGCGAAAATAAAGCAGAACCAACCCCAAACGCGTTCCACACGTGCGGCAGGAGCGCGGGCTGCAGCGCGTGGGGCTCCCTCGCCCTTTCTCGCTGCGCATCCCGGCGCCCACCCTCTTTCCCGTGTCCCACTCCCGTTTCCCTCTTCTCCTTGTTCCCGTCCGATCTCTTCTATTTTATCCTTTTTTCCCCCCATTTCCTCCCACCCTCCTCCCGCTCCCCCCGCCCCCCGGGCCCGGTCTCTGCTGCCCCCTGCCGGCTCCCCGCGGCGCAGGCCCCGCCCCCTCCTCACACGAACCCCGCCCGTTCAGCACAAGCCCCGCCCTTTCCGCGCAGGCCCCGCCCCCTGGCGGCCCCGCCCCGCCGTCACGCGCCGCGCGGGTTCCGGGTGCG